GGCCTATTCTCTTTCAATGTGCCATTGTGTATGTGGAATATTCACCAAGACAGACCATATTCTGGACCACAAAACAAGTCTTAATAAATTTAAAAGCATTGAAAACATAAAGAATGTATCTAATGACAGAATCATAGTATAAATCAGTAAATAGAAAGATATTAAGGAAATACCCAAATATTTAGAAATCAAACAGCTATTTGACCTGTGGTCAAAGTAGAAATCACAAGGGAAATTATAAGGTATTTTGAATTGAATGAAAATGAAAACCAGTGTAAGATATTTGGTGGCATGCAACTAAAGAAGAGCTTAAGGGAACATTTATAGCTTTAAATGCGTTATTAGAATATACCAAAGATCCAAAGTCAGTGATGTTAAGTTTCACCTTGGGAAGCTAAGCTGAAACAAACAAATCAACAAACAAAAAACTCAATGTAAATGGAAGGATGGAAATTGTACAGATAAAAACAGACAAGCAAGAGGCAATATTAATGAAACCTAAAGCTAGTTCTTTGAAAAGATCAGTAAGATTATTGATTGAATTGATCAGGAGGAGAAAAGAGAAAACAAATTACCACTATCAGGAATGAAAGGAGGGTCACCACCAAAGATTCTAGAGATATTAATAACTTGAATAACTGTATACTTGATACTGAGAAAGGAATTCAACAGCTTAGATCAAATGAGAAAGATTCTTGAAAGACACAATTACCAAAATCAATTGAAGAAGTAGAAAATCTAAATAGTCCTGTATCTATTAAATAAATTGAATTTATAATTAACACCTTACCACAAACTGATTTCAGTGGTGAATTCTAACAAATATTTAAGGGAGAAATAATATCAGTCATACACAGATTCTTCCAAAAAGCAGAGGAATTGGGAACAATGATTGTATCATCTTACATGAACAGCATTACTCTGACACCAAAACCAGATAAAGATACTACAAAGAGAGAAACAAAAGGCCTGAATCTCTGGGAAACATAGATATAAAAATCCTTATCAAAGTATTAGTAATCCAGCAGTACAATGTAAGAGTAAAATACCATGATCAGTTGGAGTTTATTCCAGTAGTGCAAAGTTGGCTCAACATTCAAAACTCAGTCAGTGTAATTATCCATTTGGCAGGATTCATATCCATTCATGATAAAAACTTAGCAAACTAGGAGTAGAAGAAAACTTCTTCAACCTGATAAAATGTGTTTATTTTTAAAAACCCTACAGTTAATATCACACTTAATGATGAGAGACTAAATGTTTATCTCCCTACAATCCAGAAAAGAAAAGATGTTTGTTCTCACCTTCCTATTCAACATATATCAGAAGTTGTAGCTAATACTGTAAAACGGGAAGAAAAATAAAGGCTTACAGATTGGAAGGAAGAAGTAAAACTGTCTTATTTGCTGATGATACTGAATTCAAAAAAAATCCAAAGGAATGTACAAAAAACTACAGTGTAATTAACAGTGTCACAGGATACAGAGTCAATGTACAAAACATTGTATTTCTGTATACTCACTATAAATAATTGGAAAAACAATTCTATTTACAATAGCATCAAAGAACAAGAAATACTAATGGATAAATGTAACTAAGGTGTCAGACCTACACACTGAAAACTGTAAAACACTGCTGACAGAAATTAAAAAAGAGCTAAAGATATAGAGAGAGATACCATGTTAATGAATTGGAACACTCAGTTTTGTTCATTTGTTACTTCTTCCCAAATTGCTCTATAATTCAGTGCAATCCCAAACAAAATCTTAACAGCCTTTTCTGTAGAAATTGCAGGATGATACTAGAATTTATTTGGAAATGCAAAGGATCTGTAGAATAGCCAAAATTTATTTGTAAAAGAATAACAAAGAGGGTTCACAGTACTTGACTTCAATACTTAGTGTAAAGCTTCTGTAGTCAGGAGATTATGGTATTGGTGCAAGTATAGACATATAGACTGACAGATCAGTGGATCCATAATAAGACTCACATGTATATGATCAATTAATTTTCAACAAAGGTGCCAAGATACTTAAATGAAGAAAGGATAGTTTTTTAAACAAATGGTTCTGAAACATGTAGATATCCATATGGAACAAAGAAAATTAACCCCTACTCTTACAGTACACTATCCAAAAGAATTAACTCAAAAGCTAAAATAAAACTTATAGAAGAAAACATAGAAAATGTTTTTGTTACCTTAGGTTAGACAAAGATTTCTTACATGGGAAATAAACAGAAATGGTGAAAGAAAGAAATTAAATGGCTTTGTCATAATTTAAAAATTATCTTCAAAGACACTGCTAAAAACGGGGGAGAAATATTCATAATGCGTACATCTGGCAGATATGTGTATGTCATGAGTTAGGACTCCACAGAGCCGGTGGAGTAGGAGGGAGTTGGGATTTCACTTGAGACCAGAGCACCCAGGTAACAGGGAGACTCGCTGACTTGGCCTCAAGGGTAGAGTTTTACGGGTCTGGGGATACAAGATCCACAGGGCACAAGTTTCATTTAAGTTCTGTTTTAACAATTGAAGCACAGCAGCAAGTTGCAGGGGATTAGCAGGTAGGCAGCTGTTGTTCCAACCCTGCCCATAGGAGGCAGAATTCCAGCTAGTGGGCCCAGGAGGCTAGTGTCCTGAGGAGGACAGGCTATCTGAGTTCCTCTCACACCTTGGGATAGGCATTCACAGCAGAGCCGCAGCTGTTGGACAAAGGCTGGAGTTCTAGACAGGTTGGAGAACCAGGACATAATCTTTAGAGTTAGAATTGAAGCAGAAGTCAAGTCCTCTGGACAGGAGCAACCAGGTAGGATAGGGGTGAGAGGCAAGAAGAGCAGGATCTGTGGCTTGGTCGTTGTGAGATCAGGAGGCAGGAGGGCAGAGATGAGCAGCCCTGGAGAGACTAGGTCCATGATTTGGTGGAAGAGAAGAAGACTTCAGGAATTAAGAACATAACAATGGTAGGAATACAGGATTCAGGGAGCTTCCAAATGTCATTTATTTATCACAACCATTTTTCAGACACTTACTGTTTTATCTCTGATCCTTGCATACTTTTGAAGTAAGTAATAAAACTCCCCATTTACAGAAAAACAAATTGGAGGCAAAGAGAGGTAGATTATGCAGGCTGCTTTGGATCATATCTCTGCCCTTGTACACTCTGGTCCATGCTACTGCAGTGCCTGCCTGGGTCTCTGTAATTGTCTCCTAACTGGTCTCATTGCATCCACCCTGCCTTACCTTCCGTTGTCTCCTTCAAAGAACTCTATACACAGAATAATCTTCTCAAAATATAAAATCTGAATGTGCCACCCGCTTCTGCTTCAAGTTTATCGGTGGTTGCGTCCATTGCTTTTAGGATTAAGCCCAAATTCCCATCATAACCTACCATGGTAGATTTGGACTCTGATTAGCTCCATCTTCCTTGATCACTAACCTCCTTGTTCTCTGTACTCCACACATAGTGGCTTTCTGTTTTCTTTTTTCAGACATACTGTGCTTCCTCCTACCCCAGTGCTCCCCAAGCCTGGGACTTGCTCATCTTCCCTCCCCATCCATGGTTTCACTCTCACCTACTTCTTTGTCCAGTTAACTCCCACTCAAGTACACTTTCTCAGGGAAGCCTCTCTATGCCTGAGTCCAGTCAGTCTGTTGTATGCTTTATAGAACTACATTCCTCTCCTTTAATAGCACCTGTCAGTTTGTGATTTTATTTTTGTTAGTACCTTTATTTTCATTAATTACAGAATCCCAGTGCTTGTACAATGTCCGGCATGTGGTTGGCATTCAGTAAATACTTGAATTAAGGAATGGATTGACTCTGGAGTTGGACATGGGTTAACTTGCAGGTGGGGGCAACAGTGGAGAATCCAGCTTTGCAAAGCTGGTGGGGGCAGAGGCAGAGGCTGGCCAAGGTGGTTTAAATCACTGTGTCCAAAAGTTTTCCAGAGGAGCAGAAAGATAACATGATGGTAGCTAGAAGGATCATGTAAAGGTTTCTATTCTTTTTTATCCCTAGTGTTAACTGTAATTAACCAAGTAGGAAACAGTATAGAAACTAAGTATGCTGATAATCTGGAAACTGAGTATCAATTCTTGAATATCTTAAAAGTGCAATTCTAGCCTAATTGAATACTATATTAGGAATGATTTTGATTAATAGGAGGAGAAGCACTAGGAAATGTCTGTGCTCCATAATGTTTTGTCATCCTTTTATTGGTTTGATCTGAAATAACTACTTAAGTTTTCCAGTTGAAATATCATCAGCATTTTAAGAGAAAGAAATATACTTATTGATTGACTATATCTTACTATAACATGCTGATTTCAATAAAATTGGCGAATATAAAGTTATTCAAATTCAGAGTCAACTCTACATCTGAACAGCAAATGGAGAGTCAAGTATTACTTACAATTGCCATTAAAAGTTCTAAGTAGGAAATAAGAAGGGGAGAGAAAAAGGCAACAAAAGAACAGAGAAAGATGGGACTAAAAGACAAAAAGAGGTAGAAAACTGCTGTTTATTTTTAGGAAATACATCAGAGAGTGGAGACTTTCAGTGTGTTTTGTTTTGTTTGTTTTTAATACAGTTTTTAGGGCTAAAAAATGATTTCATGGGTGGCTGGAGAGAGGTAAGGGAGGATTTCGGAAGGAAGCTGAGTGGGAATTAGTGATAATTGGTTGGGGAGTAAACAGTGCTTGTAGCTTTGGGGATATATTGTCAATTATTCAAAAACCTCAGGAGTTTTTGAATGAAAAGTATCCTGATTTCATAAAAAGTATGAATTTGATAACTATCTTCTTTAAATTGTTTTTTCTTGCTAATTAAAGGACCATTATAAAATTACCCTTATATATACAAGTATGTAAAGTTTATACTAATTTTTTATTTCAATAACTTTGAGGTATGGAAATGAGTCATCACCTTGATTAATGTACTTTCAAAATGATGTTTAAATTAAGAAAAATGCTCTAATGATGTCCTGAATTGTTTCAGATTACAACAAATATTGGTGACATATATCACTTCATGAATGGTACTTTTTTTGGTGTTCAGCAAAAGATTTTGTTGAAAGAAAAAAGTCTCTGGGAAATAATTATCGACTCCCTTAGATACCTGACAGAAAAAGGACTCCTACAAAAAGATACTCTTGTAATGGAAAAGGATCTTCTACAGAAAGACACTATTTATAAGTCTGAAGAAGAGTTCCAATGTACTTTTCATATTACAAAGTTGGGAAGAGCTTCTTTTAAGGGTAAGAGTTTACCTAAATCTCATTATTAATCTGAGGAAGTGTACTGAAAAAAGTAGAAATTAAATTATTTTACTTTAACTTTATTTTACTTCATTTGTAACTTCCTATTAATAACATTATTCTTACAAACTATTAAAACTGCTTCAATTTAAAAAGTTGAAAAGTGCTTTGAATTATAAGTAATTTAGAATACTGCAGGAGTATATAGACAATGGCCATCCCTCCAGGGTGCTCCCTCCCCCAGCAAGCATGCAAACCTGAATATCCTGCCAAGGACTGTTTGTTGTATGTCTTCCCAGAAGTTTTCTGTACATTTCATTTCAGTGCATATGCATGTATACAGGTTTAAGATGTTTTAGGCTTTTAATTGTAAATATATATAACTTTAAATATAAATAATCATTTATATTGTTCTGGAACTTGCTTTTTTTTCTTAATGTAATAGAGATTGGTCCATGACAGTGAATAGTTTCTTTCTTAATTGATGTATCATAATTTACTTAATGAAAAATAATACATGTCTGTTGTTTAAATATACCCTTAGAACTCGAATTATGTAAAGGAAAAACCACATACTTCTGTCCCTTTTATACTCTCCTAGGGGCTTCCACTATTAACAATATTATATATATATATATACCCTTCCAAATATTTTTATGTGTATACATATATTTATATACACATATATATATGCATATGTAAATAGTCATTTAATGGAATCAGTGTATTTTTTGGCAGCTTGCTTTTCTCACTTAAAAATATCATGAGCTTCTTAACATGTCAGTCCCTTTAAATCTACCTCATTTTTCTTTTGATATGATAGTAATCTGTAATAGAGATACCTTCATTTATTGAACTATTCCTCTGTTGACGGACATTTGCACTATTTCTGATTCTTCTCAATTATAAACAAGGTTGCATGGGCACCTCTATTCATGTACTGTGGGATATCTATGGAAATATTTGTCTGGGTTAGATTTTCAAAAATAGGGTCATCAAGTCAGAAGGTACGTACTTATTACATATTGATGGATACTATCATTATCAAAATGACCCAAAATAGTTGTTCTAAGTTATATAATATATTTTGGTGACTTCTAAAGACTTTCTTTAAAATCACCTCTTTCCCCCTTTGGTAATTTTGAAAGATGAAATATTTGTATCTTTCCTTTAGGAACTATAGATCTGGCTTATTGTGACATTCTCTACAGAGACTTAAAGAAAGGTCTTGAGGGACTTGTGCTTGAAAGCTTTCTTCATCTTCTTCTCAAAATATAAAATCTGAATGTGCCACCCGCTTCTGCTTCAAGTTTATCGGTGGTTGCGTCCATTGCTTTTAGGATTAAGCCCAAATTCCCATCATAACCTACCATGGTAGATTTGGACTCTGATTAGCTCCATCTTCCTTGATCACTAACCTCCTTGTTCTCTGTACTCCACACATAGTGGCTTTCTGTTTTCTTTTTTCAGACATACTGTGCTTCCTCCTACCCCAGTGCTCCCCAAGCCTGGGACTTGCTCATCTTCCCTCCCCATCCATGGTTTCACTCTCACCTACTTCTTTGTCCAGTTAACTCCCACTCAAGTACACTTTCTCAGGGAAGCCTCTCTATGCCTGAGTCCAGTCAGTCTGTTGTATGCTTTATAGAACTACATTCCTCTCCTTTAATAGCACCTGTCAGTTTGTGATTTTATTTTTGTTAGTACCTTTATTTTCATTAATTACAGAATCCCAGTGCTTGTACAATGTCCGGCATGTGGTTGGCATTCAGTAAATACTTGAATTAAGGAATGGATTGACTCTGGAGTTGGACATGGGTTAACTTGCAGGTGGGGGCAACAGTGGAGAATCCAGCTTTGCAAAGCTGGTGGGGGCAGAGGCAGAGGCTGGCCAAGGTGGTTTAAATCACTGTGTCCAAAAGTTTTCCAGAGGAGCAGAAAGATAACATGATGGTAGCTAGAAGGATCATGTAAAGGTTTCTATTCTTTTTTATCCCTAGTGTTAACTGTAATTAACCAAGTAGGAAACAGTATAGAAACTAAGTATGCTGATAATCTGGAAACTGAGTATCAATTCTTGAATATCTTAAAAGTGCAATTCTAGCCTAATTGAATACTATATTAGGAATGATTTTGATTAATAGGAGGAGAAGCACTAGGAAATGTCTGTGCTCCATAATGTTTTGTCATCCTTTTATTGGTTTGATCTGAAATAACTACTTAAGTTTTCCAGTTGAAATATCATCAGCATTTTAAGAGAAAGAAATATACTTATTGATTGACTATATCTTACTATAACATGCTGATTTCAATAAAATTGGCGAATATAAAGTTATTCAAATTCAGAGTCAACTCTACATCTGAACAGCAAATGGAGAGTCAAGTATTACTTACAATTGCCATTAAAAGTTCTAAGTAGGAAATAAGAAGGGGAGAGAAAAAGGCAACAAAAGAACAGAGAAAGATGGGACTAAAAGACAAAAAGAGGTAGAAAACTGCTGTTTATTTTTAGGAAATACATCAGAGAGTGGAGACTTTCAGTGTGTTTTGTTTTGTTTGTTTTTAATACAGTTTTTAGGGCTAAAAAATGATTTCATGGGTGGCTGGAGAGAGGTAAGGGAGGATTTCGGAAGGAAGCTGAGTGGGAATTAGTGATAATTGGTTGGGGAGTAAACAGTGCTTGTAGCTTTGGGGATATATTGTCAATTATTCAAAAACCTCAGGAGTTTTTGAATGAAAAGTATCCTGATTTCATAAAAAGTATGAATTTGATAACTATCTTCTTTAAATTGTTTTTTTCTTGCTAATTAAAGGGCCATTATAAAATTACCCTTATATATACAAGTATGTAAAGTTTATACTAATTTTTTATTTCAATAACTTTGAGGTATGGAAATGAGTCATCACCTTGATTAATGTACTTTCAAAATGATGTTTAAATTAAGAAAAATGCTCTAATGATGTCCTGAATTGTTTCAGATTACAACAAATATTGGTGACATTTATCACTTCATGAATGGTACTTTTTTTGGTGTTCAGCAAAAGATTTTGTTGAAAGAAAAAAGTCTCTGGGAAATAATTATCGACTCCCTTAGATACCTGACAGAAAAAGGACTCCTACAAAAAGATACTCTTGTAATGGAAAAGGATCTTCTACAGAAAGACACTATTTATAAGTCTGAAGAAGAGTTCCAATGTACTTTTCATATTACAAAGTTGGGAAGAGCTTCTTTTAAGGGTAAGAGTTTACCTAAATCTCATTATTAATCTGAGGAAGTGTACTGAAAAAAGTAGAAATTAAATTATTTTACTTTAACTTTATTTTACTTCATTTGTAACTTCCTATTAATAACATTATTCTTACAAACTATTAAAACTGCTTCAATTTAAAAAGTTGAAAAGTGCTTTGAATTATAAGTAATTTAGAATACTGCAGGAGTATATAGACAATGGCCATCCCTCCAGGGTGCTCCCTCCCCCAGCAAGCATGCAAACCTGAATATCCTGCCAAGGACTGTTTGTTGTATGTCTTCCCAGAAGTTTTCTGTACATTTCATTTCAGTGCATATGCATGTATACAGGTTTAAGATGTTTTAGGCTTTTAATTGTAAATATATATAACTTTAAATATAAATAATCATTTATATTGTTCTGGAACTTGCTTTTTTTTCTTAATGTAATAGAGATTGGTCCATGACAGTGAATAGTTTCTTTCTTAATTGATGTATCATAATTTACTTAATGAAAAATAATACATGTCTGTTGTTTAAATATACCCTTAGAACTCGAATTATGTAAAGGAAAAACCACATACTTCTGTCCCTTTTATACTCTCCTAGGGGCTTCCACTATTAACAATATTATATATATATATATACCCTTCCAAATATTTTTATGTGTATACATATATTTATATACACATATATATATGCATATGTAAATAGTCATTTAATGGAATCAGTGTATTTTTTGGCAGCTTGCTTTTCTCACTTAAAAATATCATGAGCTTCTTAACATGTCAGTCCCTTTAAATCTACCTCATTTTTCTTTTGATATGATAGTAATCTGTAATAGAGATACCTTCATTTATTGAACTATTCCTCTGTTGACGGACATTTGCACTATTTCTGATTCTTCTCAATTATAAACAAGGTTGCATGGGCACCTCTATTCATGTACTGTGGGATATCTATGGAAATATTTGTCTGGGTTAGATTTTCAAAAATAGGGTCATCAAGTCAGAAAGTACGTACTTATTACATATTGATGGATACTATCATTATCAAAATGACCCAAAATAGTTGTTCTAAGTTATATAATATATTTTGGTGACTTCTAAAGACTTTCTTTAAAATCACCTCTTTCCCCCTTTGGTAATTGTGAAAGATGAAATATTTGTATCTTTCCTTTAGGAACTATAGATCTGGCTTATTGTGACATTCTCTACAGAGACTTAAAGAAAGGTCTTGAGGGACTTGTGCTTGAAAGCTTTCTTCATCTGATTTACTTAACAACTCCCTATGAAATGGCTTCTCACTGTCACCCTGATTGGATGATATACTTCAGGCAGGTGAGAATATAAGACTCTTCAATATAGGCTACTTAGTTTATTGATGATGATGTGATTTTTGTCAAGTGATTATTTACTTTTTTTTCTCTGTTAAAACATATTTGAAATTGGGTCCTTTGTCTTTAAGTTTTTAAAATAGTAATACCGCAACAGCATTTTTGGTTTGCTTAACTTAAAGGTTACTTTTCTGTTAAATATAAACATGTTCATTATCAAAAAAATAAGGATAGGTGCAGAAAAGAAAAAAGGGATCATGCCTGGTCCCCTTCCCCCAACAATAGTTACTCTTAGGATTGGTAACCACTACATTTTATAATACCGAGAATATAAAGAAAACCAGGGTCTCTGATGATTGAGAGTTTAGTTACATGAAAACTCTTATCAGAACCAAGCATGATGACCAAACCCAGTGACATCAGTTCCTGAGGAGGAATATCCATTTTATCACCAGTAACAAGGTGTGACTGCCTTACCTGTTACCAAGCTAGGTGTAGAGCAGTCTTCTTTGATTTTACTGTGAACAGGATAGATGTATAAATACACATAAGGTAGAAGAAGCAGCATACAGCTTTTAATTGCAGGAAACTTTTTAATGTTGCATTTTTTTGTAGTTGTAAATTTTTTTAAGTGATACTATATAATGCAGTTATTTTCAAAAGCTTTCCCTCTTCCCCCTTCCCAGGCATCTCCAGTATTAAACATAATCTCATAGTCCATGGAAACTATAGCCATGGTTACAGTTCTTGTAACCATGTATTTAAATAATTCCACTAAAGTATCTTATATTTTAATAATATATATTTTAAGCTTGCAATATTTGTAAATAAAATTTGTAAATCATGAAAATGTGATATCACTGGATTTGTTTCAAATGGCAAATTTTTTAATAGTCACAATTTGATTTTTCTATATGTTTACTCATTTCCATATAGTTTAACCAGCTCAGTCCAGCAGAACAAAATGTAGTTTCTCTTCTCGGAGTCTCTGAAAACTTTATCGGGAAGAAAGCATCAGGTCAAGCTATCAAGAAGGTACTTTAATCTTCTTTTCCTTCCTAAATAAGTTCATTTAACAAAATGAATGCTGTTGTGTCATCTTTTTTGCTGACTTGATCATTTTGTTTCACGTTTGTTTCACATATTGTTAAATTAATGTAATTCCCATATTACTATTCAGAATATCTGAGGACCAGAAATTTAAGCATTTTTAAAAAGTAGTATTTATTTCTGGATGGAGTGATAGCCTTTTTTTTGGTACCTTTCTTATTTCTGAAATTTTCTGTCATGTACATGTAGGCTTTTAACATAGGGAAAGGAAAGCTTACTCATCAATTTTTCTTAGGCTTATAAAAATTGTAAAATATTTCTAAAATGTTTTCACAATACTATATAATCCTGAAATAAGTTCAGTTCATGGGAGAAAAAATGTATTTTCCAGGAACTTTTTATTAAGCTTTCTATTTGGTATCAGGGATTCTGAGACAGGACAAGTTTTGGGTTTTTGTCATTGTGTTTTGCTGTCTTCAAATAACTCCTAGTTCTGCTACTTAGATTACATAAAGCATTTAGAAGGTTAGAGTAGGCAAGCTAATACTCTTTTGGGTGTGATACCTTGTATTTTGGTGTTTTAAAGTTTGATCAGCATATGTGCAGCAAGTGTCTAATGCATACGCTGACTTTAAGAGAAGTGGAAATAATTATTTGGCAAAAATGCCTTCAAATTCCATAAGGTAGTAAGTATCATCTCCCATCTCAGAATATGCATTTTTTCATTTTTCATTTTCTTTGGTAATCCAATCTTCATTGAAACCTAATAATCTTATCCATCATTTCTCCCTATATTTTTAAAATTTACATACATGTAACATTTCATTTTGAAAAAAGGAAGATGTTGTTTACTTGCATTTGAATTGAATAGTGCACTGTCCCATGTATTGCTGTATCATAAAATTATAAATATATAGTACTTCAGCATTCATGTTATAATATTTAGATTGGATCTTTTATCTCAGAAATGTCTATGTTGTTTACACCTTCAAAATGTTAAATAAAAATATTTCTTAAAACAAACCTTTTATATCCAACTCTAAAATACAAAATAAAAACAAAATCATGTTAATTTGGAACTCACTACCAAATAATAAACACTTAAAAAATCTTATTAAAATAATGCATCTTTTTTTTAACTCAAATCAGAATTTTTGTTACATTTTTTAAATGTAGTCAGCAACTGTTCAAGTAATAAAAAATTTTCAATTAAATATGAATTTATCTAAATTATAAATGGATTAGTTACTGGTTTGATGTTTTAGAAATATCTTCTTTTAATTCTAGAGAATGGGATACTTAAAATCTAACTGATTTCTCCACATTGAATAAGAACACGTCCCCCACAAACCTCTTTTCTTTAAATATTTCTTGGCAATGGTATAAAGCGTCTTGTGTTGCCATGTAATATAATTATATCATTTTTCTTGGCTTAGAAAATACATTCAAAGCAAAAATCTACATTTACTCAATTTATACTTAATAATGAAGGTGCACTAAAATTGGGAAATGAAAAAGCAGTCTTTTCCTACTAGTTATTCAACTATTTTGCTTTTTCAGCTTAATTAAAAGGGTGATCCAGTATCAACATGCAGAATCTGTAATTCACACATCCTTCAGATATGTCACCCTAAGTTCTCACCTCAAACATTCTTTCCTTCTATAGTCGAGAAATAATTTTATGTTATCCTTTTTTTCTAGTTCATCCTTTTTTTCCTCTGATTTTAAGCGTGAGTTACTCAGTTTCTAAGTTAACATGATATTAGCTATGAAATACTATACATGAAATGTAGTCACTAGCACCACAGTCAGAAGCAGATACACAGAATAGAAATTGTCAATTATAGGAAGCGTTTTTTTCTTTCAGTGTGCTAACTTTGGAAACATTAATTCTTTATCATGACCTGTAAAAATCATACAATCTAACATTTACCTATAGTTTATAAGAAACTAAGAGTAGCTAGTTGATGTGTTTTTTGACATATTTATCTAAATAAATGCATTGGTCAAACTTATAATCACATTCACATAAATATACAACCTAAAAATATCACCTTAAATGTAAAGCTCTCCCAAATTTCTTCCCTTCCTGTGTTCTTTTTCTAGAGCTGCCATAACAAGTTAGAATAAACTGAATATCTTAGAAGAACAGAAATTTATTCTCTCACAGTTCAGGAAGCCAGAAGTCTATAATCAAAATGCTGGCAAGGTTGCTTCCTCCTGGAGGCTCCAAGGAGGAAAGCAGCTTGCCTCTCTCCTAGCTCTTGCAGGTTGCCAGCAATCCTTGGTGTGTTCCTTGGCTTGCAGGTGCATCCCTCCAGTGTCTGCCTCCATCTTCATGTCACCTCCTTGTCTCTGCCACTCTGTGTCTTCTCCTCTTATAAAGACACCTGTCATTGATAAAAGAGCCCTGAAGGGCCCCCTGTACATCCAGGATGATTTCATCAAGATCCTTAACTAACTGCATCTACAAAGATCCTATTTCCAAATAAGTTCACCTTCACAGATACCACAGTTAGGACTTCAACATATCTTTGGGATGGGGTGACTCACAATTCAACCCAGTATATTCCCATATAGAAGGAAGTTTAATTTAAATTGGAAATAATTTGATATATCTCTCTACTTATACTTGGAAAAAATGATTTGAGTTAATCAAAAGCACAGATGTTAGAATTGAATTTTTATTTCTGTGGGTCACTTTATCCTACTCTCCTATAATACAAATTCATTAATTTTACCTTTTGTCCAATTTGAATATAATGTTACATTTTTAGCAGGTCCAGTACATAAATTTATTTGATTGTGTCTTTCTAGAAGGTGGACAAAGATATCGTCAACAGACTATACCTGTCTTTTGTTCTTTATACCTTGCTCAGAGAGACCAACATTTGGAGTGTGTCTGAAAAATTTAATATGCCTCGAGGATATATCCAGAATCTTCTCACTGGAGCTGCTGCATTTGCATCTTGTGTGCTTCATTTCTGTGAGGTAATTCCGTTAAATAGATGATATATGCTTTGTGCATCTTCTGGTTTTAACTATTAATAAACTCATAAACAAGTTAGTATTTTCTTATTGTTGACTTTTTCTGCTATTATAAAGCACTCAAAATTTATTTAAAATATATTTTTGCATTTATTTACTTTTAAAAATACTATATACATATTTATGGTAAAGATACAAAAAAGATAAAACCAGCTAAAATATATAGTGAACAAGTACCTAGTTATCCTAACTCTTAGAACCACTGCTAACAAAAGTTTCAAGTGTTTGTGATCAACTTTCAAAATGACATTTCTCCATTGAGATACATGATACCATGTAAAGTACTTCTACAGTATGTTACACTATCCAGCAGCTAGCTTGTGACTGCTTAGTACCGTCTTCTCTTGATTGCCACAGTAATTTACCATTTTTGCTTCCAATGTCAGGAAGTCACTTTACGTTTCTACATCAAATGTTTTATAAAATAATTCAGGAAGAAAACTTTATTTTGGTCATATGCATTTGAGATAGATTTGTTTGTTTATGATTTTACTAAAAGAAGCTTTATCAGAATTTCTTTAAATAGCTCAACAAAATTTACCAAACATTTCTATTCAGATAATTTTTTTTGATGAATTTATAATATAAGACATTTTTGTTGCATTTAATTTCTTATTGAGACATAATAATCCTTTCCATATTTGTTTCTATGCTCAATTTTTTAAAAACTTTTCCCCTATGAATTCTATTTTTAAACTTAAAGTCTTTTTCATTTTCCCTATCTTAAATCTCCATATTCTTTGTACGTATGTGGCAATTATTCTACCATATGTGCTAATGAGCAAATAATAAAAAAATACTTGACTTTGCATTGAATGATAATTATTTTAGCAAATTTACTTTTCTAAATATCTTTTACTTTTACTGATTTTTTAATATTAGCTTACACTCTTTAATCACATACTAGCTAAGAAGTAGGCAAAAATTATGAATAATAAAGAATACATTTCCTATGTTTGTTCTTCATATTTAAAGATGCTTTCCCTAATATTCTATATCTTTGTTTTACTTAGAACTATAAGGACTTTAGTCTTACAGAATTGTCCAGGTAAAAGAATCTGTAAGTTGAACTTGGAAGACTACTGTAATTTGATGATGGATCCTAGGAACAAATCTACCTGACAACTTCTGCCCTCATGAATGTATTTTCAATATTTTAAGGTGTTTTTTCTTTTTAAAAAGCTATATAAGTGGTATACCAGTTGTATTAGTTAAGGTGCCTTTAACTACAGTTAATAAGAAAACTCCAAAGAAGTTAAACCATAAGGAAAAAGATTATCTTGTGTGAGAGGAAAGCTAGAGCTAAGGCAATTCCAGGGTGGCTGATTCCCTAGTTCTGCTCAAGGTTTTCTTTTCTTCTTTTTAACTCCGCCACCTTTAATACATTGTACTTTCCCAGTGGTCACAAAAATGACCAGCTAATGCCATTCCATACCTCACATACTCTAACAGTGACACCCAAAGGTTTGAAAGGGATGTTTAAAAAAAAAAACTGCTATTATAGAAATTTTCAAACATGTTCAAATGAAGACAAAATAATGTAACTAATACCCATTTACCCACCCAGCTTTAACAGTTATTGACTCATGGTTTACATATTTTTATTGTTTTAAATATTGCTGCACTGAGCATCATCATGTATTTGAATCCTTCCGTTTTAGTATTTGTCTTCAGGATAAATTCCCAGAGGGAAGAATTGTTTTCAGTCATTTAGGAAAGAAAAACTATGCATTCACTTGGTGGTGTTTGATAAAAGTGAATAGAACTCTTCTTAAATTGTCTCATTTTTTGATTTTCGATCTATTTCCTCATCCCAAAATCACTTCAGCAAATTCCTCAGAGTCTCTGCCATGTTTCCTCATAATAATTTTACTTATTCATTGTTCATCTCTGGCTTAATCCAAGTTCCAGAATTTACATAAGGGAACAGCCTCTCTGAGCCCTCTACCACACAAACTAAACTTTGAAATAACTTATCAGATTTAAATTTTGTTTCTTTGTTTTCAGCAGGAACTTGAGGAGTTTTGGGTTTATAGAGCCCTTTTGGTAGAACTTACCAAGAAGTTGACGTATTGTGTAAAGGCAGAGCTGATCCCTCTCATGGAAGTGACTGGAGTCTTAGAGGTTCGTAGCTTCCCAGTCTCACAACTGACATAATTTCAGTTAACAGAAAAATCAGATTTTACTGTTCTGTGAAGTTTTATCATGGGTAAGGGCCAGCAACAGCTTTATTGCTCATTTGTCATTGGAGTCTTTTTTTTTTTTTAATAAATTGTTGCCATGGCCTCCCAGAGATCTCCTGTTAATTTGGGAGCAGTTCTAATGAAAAATTACATTTAAAAAAATTAATAACAGTAGAGATAAAGGTGACACTCCCCAAGTATATGTGTGCTACCACTCCTCAGCGTCTCTTCTTCCTCCACTCCAGTAAAGAATTACCTTCTGTCAGTTTAGACTGTGCTTACTTAAGGTAGTGGTGATTCAGTGATAACAAGGCTTCTTTACACTACCTAAAGGAGTGAAAAAAAGTATCCCGAGAAAAGGTGGTTTCTCAGCTTTCTGTTTTTGTCCAACCCTTGATTTCAGTTTGCTCTCTGTTATTCAGTTCTTGAATCAGAGGGGTTCTGCTTTGGAGCACACACACACACACAAACACACACACATACTGGTGAGTCCCCTGAATAAACGGTGACAACATTTTAAGTATACTGGACTAGAACAGTCTGGCTGGAAGACTAAAATAATGCCCCCAGCACCTAATTGCCTTAACGGAGTTCTCCTTCCTGATTGTAAATATCAGTTGGCTTAATCTGCATGGAAAGCTATCTTGCAATCCAATTGGAACCACCTAAACACATCTTTTAAAATTCCTCAGATTTTTGATATGTTATCTCATCATATTTACTATACTATTCAGTTTATCCCTCTCTCTTCCATGTGAAATATTTGCCTCCAGTAAAACACTTAAGTATTTTTTCCTAGTCCCAAAATCTGATCCTACTCATTTTTATAATACCTTTCAGGGTCGAGCAAAACAGTTATACAATGCAGGTTATAAAAGTCTAGTGCACTTAGCTAATGCAGATCCTGAAGTGCTAATAAAGACAATTGATCATTTATCAAGACGCCAAGCCAAGCAAATTGTTTCTTCAGCAAAGGTAAACAAACAAAGCATTTTTTTAACCTTCATGTTATTTTGTAGTGTTATCTCTTTATACTTAGGACATAAAAACAAAAATATTTAACTATAGACACAAATGTAGATACTCACAGTATGTGGATAAAAAGAGTGCATCTGTTATGACACTAATCTTGCTAAATAGAGAAAAAGGACCTCCTAAAGAAATAGACAATTTCAGGAGTTCATTGAAGTAGAGGGAACTCTGGAACTCATTGCATTCTGCCTCCTTATACCATTTTCACAGAAGTCCTTTCCTCAGTATCCCTGACATCTGGTCTTCCCACCTTTGAACACCTTCATTGACAAGGAGCTTACAAGCTCAAAAATTAGCTTCTATTTTTGGACACTCTTAATGTTATAAAAGCATCCCAAAATGATGAGGCTAAATGTTGCTTTCTTAGCAGGTCTACCGTTACATTGCTGTACTCCCTTGGGACTACTCTGGTCCTTTGTTCATATGACAGTTTTTCACGTTTGGAAACAGCTCTCATTGCTTTCATGGTTTCTATTTTTTTTTTCCTTCCTTGGTATTAAATAATCTAGTTTTAGGCCATTCACTGTCCAGGTTACCCTCTGCTAGGTGCAGTCCAGTTTGTCCTTACCTCCTGCTCCATGTGGATGAAGCCATTACAGAGCAGTTTGTGATTATTTCCTCTTTGATCTCAGTTGTAGTTCTGTTCTTGTAAACTGATATTACTTAGCTTTTTTTAAAAAGTTCATTGTTATACTATTGTCATATCTAGATCAGAAGTAGCTAAAAAGTAAATTCCCATCTTATTTTTTAGAGGGTGCTCACATTGTTTATATTACCTTAATTGATCTTTACAACAGCCTTATGAGATGGGCAGAGTCCGTGTTGTCTTCAGTTCGCAAATGGGGACACTACAACTGACCTTGTTTCATTAGGTTAACTCAGTTGGGAGGTGCGGTGATGCAATTTTTCTACTTCATGGTTTGTTTTCAGGGAAAGAATTTTTTATGAGCTGAAGTGCTTTGATTCCCATTTTCTGTTTTCTTTTTATATAGTAGTTTTGTATAATGAGAACTGCTTATGCCTCTGCATTTCTTAGACAGAAATGGCCATCTGGAGTGGTTTATGAGAATCCTACTTCAAGAGTTTCTCACTGTCTGTTGTAGCAAAGTATAGTTACTTTAACAAAGGGCTTGGGGTAGGAGAGCTGTATTGTTTGATTTTTTTTAGCTTCCTTTTGTCATACAGGATCCTAAATTATCCCCTCCTATTTCTTTTTACCCTCACTGTTCACCTTCCAAAGGGACATCTCCCTTTTTACCCATTTTTCCCCCCAAAAGCATTGCCTTTCCCAGCTGCCTTCTAGAGTTCCACACACTTGAAGTCCCTTCCTATACACCATGCTTTAACCTACCAATAGACTTTTCTCAGTATTTTTGTACTTGGGGTAGCTTTCTCTCACTGGAGGTGCTTATATTTCATCTGATACTCTCTGTTTCCCTCTTGCTTTTCCATTAGTTTCTATCAACCCCACCTTGATATCTGCAAATACTTGATGTGGGAGCTTGAGAAACGGCTCTGCTGGATTTTTTTAGTTGCAAGTAATCTGACATTGATGGTATTCTGTGTATTCTAGTAATGCTGCACAGGAGTTTGGTGTGGTTTACTTGCTCTTTTTCTGGTGTAATTTTTAGAGGATGTGTTGGGAAATTCATTTTACATAGTCACCATTACCTCAGCCACTGGGAAGTGTACCTAGTTACCCTTTAATCTCTTTTCTATATAATGCTCTGTACTATGCGTATATCGAATTGGTAGAATGGGGTTTTCACTTTCGCTTTTGTGTCAAGATTTTTTCCTACTCCCTGTTATTTGGCCAAATGTTTTATTATAAAATATTGTGAAAAAGTAGTGCAGATACTGACCAAATATTCACAAAACCCAGCTGCAACAAATACCAAACTTTTATTTCTGGTTTTGAAAAGAAAAGGGAAAAAATCTATTCAGCAAATGTTCATTGACATCTAATATGTGCCATGTTTAGAAGTACTTTGTTTGCTGTTTCCTGGTTTCTTTTGAAAATAACCATGTAAGTTTTAAAAGCTTTAATAAAACTACTTTGAAACACTGAGAGATTTTTAAAACATAGCATACGTAATTTTGAGAACTATTAAATGCATATAGAAAGGATAGCATTTCCAAGAGCTAATACAATTTTTGCAAAATTGTCATAGATTTTATAGATTAAAAGTGCATTTTTAAGTAGCTGAGTCTTCAATAAAACAAATCTTTGAGAGTATTAAAGCTCTTTTATTTTTGGTATACCAAATGCAATGATCAGCTAAAATGGCTTTCACTAAATGCTTCAGCCTCATTTACTATAATTGCTTGTTCTTAAGTGGCTATTTTTCAATCTCATTATTAGTTTTAATGTCTCGATTTCTGATGTGTAAGGATTCAGGTGTCTAATAGATGGTGATAAAAATGTTAGTAATTCTCTAGCAATGCATATTTTGGCCTCCTGACTTGATTTTTTATCGTAGATGCTGTTGCATGAAAAAGCAGAGGCTTTGCAAGAAGAAGTAGAAGAGTTACTGAGATTGCCTCCTGATTTCCCTGGCACTGTGGCCTCTTCCACTGAAAAGGCATGAAGCTATTTGATGGGCACTTTCAGATATGAATTATTTATTGTACATATGTTTTATTAAATATTCCCTGTAATTTGTAAATGAAAAAAATACATTTTAATTATACCTTAAGAACTATGGATGATGTTTGAATATATCTTTCACCCATAATTGCAGTAACCTTCCCACTAAGAATCCATCTTGCTCAGTACTTACACAGTAATTCCCTGCTCAGAAATCCAGTATCTGCCACAAATGGAATCCAACTTCCTCAACATATCTCCAGCCTACTTTTGCAGCCAGAATCTGTCATTATTCTCTTACCCATTTCTTTCATCAAACTGGACTATTTGAAATCTCAGGGTTTTTCCCAGAATTTTCAGATCCTCCACTTCCTAACTACTTTAAGCTATTCCCAGAGCATGGAAAATTATCTTTAAAATGTACTATGTACTTCAGGTGGTAACTAAAAATGCTTAAATACTCTCTCCTCGATGAAATTGTCCAGGTTCATGTTCACCCCACCCATACATACATCTTTCCCTCCTGTAAGTATTCTGAGCCCCTCATTTACACCCATGTCTTTTTTTAATGCTGTTAGTTTGAAATCTGAAGGGTCGAGCCCTTTTTTATCTTCTTTGTATGCCACATAGCACCTACCACAGTACACTGCTCAAACGAGGAATCTCTGTGAAGAATGAATACCACCCAAATTAAAAATTCAAAGATTCTCTAAACACAAATATTGCCTCTCCCCTCCCTTTTCAGAGTTATAACTCAAATGGAGATGACTAGTTAACTGTAGGAAAAAAGGTAATAACTAGCAATGTTTATGAGTACTAAACTGGTTTAAATTTTACTCACCTGCTTAAGACGTCCACTGGAAGGTTTCCAAATAGATTCAGTCTAAGTTCTTTGTGCCTTAGCATTTTAGGGCATTATAATATAGCAATCATTTGCCTAGTAATCGCTATTTGCCAGGCACAGTTAAAAGTGGTTTATGTCACTAATTTAATCCTTACAGCAACCCTGTAAGGCAAGTACTATTATTATCATCCCCATTTTACAGATAAGTAAACTGAGACACAGAGAAATTAACTTGCCCAAAGTCATGTACTAATTTTGTAGAGCAGGAATTCAGACCCAGGCTGTGTACCAAACCATTCTACAGTACTGTCTTGGTAGAATTTTCCCATTCTGTGCCTTCCTAAGTGATTCATCTGGCCTTGATTTTATCTCATTCACATCCCACCTCATATGAGTCCAAGTATGGCATCCTAATGTCTTAGAATCTTGGGCTTCACTCACATATTTGATTTGTCAGGTAAAAAGACTAAAAGAGCATCTGGTGGGCCTGCTGGCTGCTTGGGCCCAGCCATCGGGGTGTGCCCATGGTGGTCCATGGTCAAGTGTCCAGTTTTTTTTAAATCTAGAAACCCTAGTTTTATTACTCTGCTTAAGTAAGACTATAAGTGAGCTCTTATTCCTGGTGACCAATTTATAAAAGACTGTTTAATAATCCCAACTTAATTTATTAATTTACAATTAGAGATGGTGAGGTTGGCTGGGTATCTTTAGAAAGTAGAATCCCTATATCTGCTCCCAGGACAATCTCTCCCACCCTTCATCAGTGTTTCTCTAGGTCAATCCAACTGGAAGGCTGTATCAAGTATAATGATGGGGTATTAGCCCTAAAAGATAAAAAATGTAAAGAAATTGAAACATTTCAGTTCTAGAGAAGAGATAAGTAGATTAGTGGAAACAGTGGAGAATAAAAATAGACTCAAATACATTTAAAAATTTAATATATAATAACATGGTTTTTCAGTTTCAACTAACAGGCACCCAAGCATGTCTAGCGTAAACAAAAAGAAGTATTCAGTGGCCACATTTTCAAACCAGGGCCGGGTTAGAACTGGCTTAGGGAACTGGAAGCACTCAGTACAATCAGGACTTGTGGCTAGTTCATCATCAGGCATCCAAATTTACTTCCTTAGAGCTTCAAGAACAAAGCAGAACGCTCTCCGCTACTACCTCCAGATAAAAAACATATCTGGGAAGGATCCTAATTGCTCTACTTAGTCCTTTGCCCACTCTGTGGCCAGAGTGTGGTGTTCTGGCTTGTACTTTTCCCAGGAGGCAGGGAGAAGCAGTGGTAGGCAGAGAAGTCAATAACTAATACAGGTGACACTTCAACCACACTGGAAACGATCGGTACCTCAGTGAATGCAGTTGAAACAGCTGGCTGCACCATGTTGTAGGAATATATTAAGCTGAATTTCTAGCTCTCAAACTTAATTAAGTTTTAGTTAAATGAAGATTTGAATCTGACTTCATTTGACTATCACTGAAGCCTCAAGTAAGGACCTGCAGTTCCTTCACGTTAGGCTTCAAAACACTAACCTGTCAGCAATTCCAGTGTAGCATCAGATTGTCCCTTTTTTAATTTTTCTGAAGCTATGAGGAAGCTTGCCCATTTCCAGGATGCTTAACTTCACCAAGGTCTTTCTAACGTCCTAGCTCCTTTTGTTTTACACCATGAACGTAAACAACCACCACCAAAAAAAAGCTTTTCTCTTGGGCGCACCAAAGTTTTGGTCAAGATTAAGCCTTTCCAAACCTAGCTGCCTTCTTAATAAATATCCAAACTGACATTTTTTTCAGGAAGGACTAATATCCTTAGCTTTATGCTTCCATTTGTAAGAACCTTCCCACACAGGAATCACTGCCACTTTTGAACTTGACCCCATTATGACAAAAAATAGTACCAGTGGTACAAAATATTGTTATATGTGCTTGTCTTTGACAATTCCAGTAACTTATTATATTAATAAGTATATTTTCTTTTGTTACTCTTTTAAGGATAAATAATAATGATGACAATAAACTATTCATTGAGGGCTCACCATGTGCCAGCACTAAACATTGTATATGTGTTATTTAGATGATTCCTTACATCTAAGGTATGTGTTATTTTTTACTCTGTGTTACAAATCTAGAAAAGGCAACTTGCCCATGATCACCCCATGAATAAGTGACACGACCTAGACTCATATCTGGGTCACATTGATAATTCCTTTTTTGATTGTGTGTATTTGCATTACAAGCTACCCTGCTTGTGTTTGGAAAGGAGTCAATCAGTATGGCACACAGAGCATATGTATTAGCTCTTCCTCCTGCCTAAAATTCTATGAAATAATTATAAAAATAAAAATATGATGCTAACATGCTCCATTTCCTTCATTTTTCATTTTTAAAATAGTCTTTTGATCCTTTTCCTCAGTGAACAGTTACCCAAGTGATAGGTGGCCATTTGAAGTAGAAGGTGTGATAATTGTCTTTCGGGAGAATGTAAGTATGTGATATAAAAATCCTGCTATTTATGAATGGATAAAGAAGGTGTGGTACATGTACACAATGGAATATTATTCAGCTACAAGAAGGAAACAAATCCTACCATTCGCAACAACATGGATGGAGCTAGAGGGTATTATGCTCAGTGAAATAAGTCAGGCAGAGAAAGACAATACCAGATGATTTCACTCATTTGTGGAGTATAACAACAAAGCAAAAGCTGAAGGAACAAAACAGCAGCAGACTCACAGAACCCAAGAAGGGACTAGCAGTTACCAAAGGAGGGGTGGGAGAGGGCGAGTGGGGAGGGAGGGAGGGAAGAAGGGGATTAATGGGCATTATGATTACCACACATAATGTAGGTAGGTCATGGGGAAGGCAGTACAGCACAGAGAAGACAAGTAATGACTCTAGGATCTTACTGATGCTGATGGAACAGTGACTGCAATGGGGTGTCGTGGGGGACTTGATAATATGGATGAATGTAGTATCCACAATGTTGCTCATGTTAAACCTTCATAAGGTTATATATCAATGATACCTTAATAAAAAAAAATCTTGCTATTTAGAATTATAACTGTCACTCTGGAGGAAATGTGTGGTTTTGCTCTAGCTGAACCAAATGTATTCGATGATTAAACCTCCCAAACTGAGATGTGGCACTGAGGTGGCAGTAGACGCTTCAGTATCAGGACTGCACTAAAACACACGGGCCTAGCAGCACAAAGGAGCACCCAGGTCATACCTGCTGTCTAACGTTTGATGCACTGTAAGTTCAACTGTATGTTTTGTTTCTTCTGAGTATTTACATAATTAACTTGGATTTTTGTTGTTTTAAGAATTTTCGACTCAAAGACAAACATTGTATGTTCTCACTGATAAGTGGGATCTAAATAAGCCCAACTCACAGAAACAGAGAGTGGACTGGTGATTGCCAAGGGCCTGGGGAGGTGGGGTAGATGTTGGTCAAAGGGTATAAACTTCCAGTTATAAGATGAATAAGTCTGGAGGATCTAGGTACAGCATGGTAACTACAAATCATGGTACTGTATTTATATACTTGAAAGTTGGTAAGAGAGCCAATCCTGAATGTTACAACCACACACAAAACATGTTAGGGGATGGAGGTTAACTAACCTTATTGTGTTAATCATTTTACAAAATATACCTGTATCAAATCACATACATTTTAAGCTCATGTATATGTCAGTAATATCTCAAAGCAGGAGAAAAAAAAGAACTTCATCTCAAATGTGCATGATACCTGGTGTGGTAGCAGAATAACATCATCACCCTTCGCCTCACCCCCTGTGAAAGAGATCCACCTCCTAATCCCTGGAAACTGTAGTTACATCATGTTATATGGCAAGAGGGAGTTAGGGTTGTGGATGGAATTAAGGTTGCTAGTCAGCTGACCTTGAGATGAATTGTCTGGGTGGGCCCAATATAATCTAAAAAGGTCCTTAAAGGGACAGAGGGAGACAGGAGAGTTAGGGTCAGGTGATATGATGGGAGAGACTCAACCAGCCACTGATGGCTTTGAAAATGGGAGAGAAATTCAGGCACCCTCTAGAAGGTGATAAAGGCAAGGAAACAGAGTCTCTTCTAAAGCGTGGTGACTCTTTAACAGTGATGTATTATATACTTGAACATTGGTTAGAGAGATCTTAAGTGCTATCACCACAGACTCAAGAAAGGAACTCAGCTCTGCTGACGCTTTAGAGACCCTTTTGAGGCTTCTAACCTCCAGAACTGTAAAATAATAAGTTTGTATTGTTTTAGTCTACTAAATGTGTAATAATAGGTTACAGCAGCAATTGGAAGCTAACATATCTGAATATAGCATGGAATACAATTGGAAAACCACCAATTTTAGAGGACCCATTCTAGATCTTAACTTGTGAACAATCTAAGTTAAATGTGGTATGCCCATTGAAAGGATTATTTTGTATACTTGAATACTATAGAAGTTAAGTGTGATAAATACCTATGATTTTTATTAATTGCACTTTTCTCCAAGGGATAAATTTCTTTTTACTTATCCTTTTAACTTAAATAAAAGTCCCAACCCTAGTTGGTTACAATAAAACAACAACAAAAAGATCCAATTACAACTGAGATTCGAATCTCTAACTTCTGAGTTTTATAAGCCATTTAGTGGCTCTTAAATCTAGGGGCTCTGAAATGTCATCCATGACATTTTCCCCAACTTTTTAAAAATTCTCTTTAAATGAGTACAAAGTATATTATCATAATAAAGAGAGGTATATCAAGCTATGAAAATGTAGGCCAACAGCAATGTAAGTACAAAAAACTAGCTATTGTAATGCTATATGCTAAATGATTTTCCATTGTTGTAAAATATAGTATTACTGTATGATCAAATAAAATGGGAAGAAAATCCACAGGCAACAGGCTACTCACTCTGTACAAAGTAAGTAACACTAGTTTGATTCTATATAAATTTGTACGCACTTTGAGATCTGTAACAACACAGTCTACTGCCCATCCTAGAAAAGATGGAGGAATTCAACATCATTTTGCTGAAATTTGTCAAAGCCGTTTGTAACTCCAGGGAAAGGAAATCCCAGGGCAAAATACCTCTAAAACCAAAATCAATCAAAGGGAGAAATAAAGTTTAAAACCCGTTCATTGCTTGTGAACTGCAGTCCAGGACTGTTTCTCTTTCCTGCTCTGGCAGAAGCAAAACCAGCCCTCCCCCTAACCTCTCAGGTTCCGATAAGCCCTCAGTTGCCCAGGTATATGGAAATGAACGACTCTCCACCCTTGAGGAAGACCTGTTAATATGCAAATGCACTAAAGCCGGACGAGATATTCTGGAAATATTACAATTTTACCCACACCATATGAAAGCTCAATGAAAATACTTAAATGCATTTTACTGAACAGTTTCAATATACTTAGCTTGATGCTAGACCCTGGTAGAAAACAAGAGGTGGAATATTTGGTTTGGTTTTTTTTTTCAGGAGTACTAAAGCATAATAAGTACATGAACCATGAGCCAGTGGCAGTAACAAAATGAAATACAGTATATACAAAAGATAAATGCTGATAGGCATTAGAGAGAGAGAAAAGGGAGGTGGAGTTATTGAGAAAGAACTTGTGGAAAAGAGATCATGAACTAGATGCTAAAAGGACGGGAGAATTGGGAACATCTGAGCCAAAGAGGGAGCAGGGCATCTGGGAGAGGAGAGATATGAAGGTAGTCTTCAAGCTGGGGTATACAAGGGGAAGGCATAAGCCACACCATCTGCGTATTTGAGTTCTTAAAGGAGTAATGAGAAACAAAAAAAGCAGCAGGAAATGGTTTGTGCTGAGCCATCTCTAATTTTTCATCTGGTGCCCCTTATGATCAATGAAGGGAACACCTGGCTGAGCTGAGACTGCAGTGTGGACAGAACTGTATGGAGATCAAATTCATAACCTGTCTGTCTAAACTAACCTTTGCCCTAGGGCAGATATAAAATGTAGATCTGACTTTTCTCAAAGATGAGTGGGAAACCAGTTCAAGTGGTCAGGATAGACTTTATTGAGTAATAACTATTGCAATAGAGAAGAGGGTCCAGCATAAATGAGCTCAAATCTCTTTGTTGCAGGGGTGATGGGCAATTTAAAGGGAGAAGAGTGAGTAAGGAGGGAAACAAGGGGGAGCTCCTGCAGAGACTGTGTTTATTATTGGGTGCTTATCTGGAGAAGAAACTTGTAGTATCTTTATGCCAGAAGGTAGTGGTGCAAGTTAGAGAAAGTTGCCCAAGGCTTGGGAGGCAAGGCAGGAGGAGCTGTTTCCCTCAATGTTTGCATTTCACCTACAGGGCCCTCAGATTCTTGAGAAGCAGTTCTGTGTGGTGGAAGATCTACATCTCCAAACACAGGTGACAGGGTGAGGAGGGCGGTGTTCAGGGGCCTATCTATTAGCTGATTTGAGCTAGAACAAACAGTAAAATCTGGCAGTTTCTCAGGCAGACACTTTAAGGGGCTGGGGTGATCCTAGTGGCACAACCTTGAGCTGTTAGAGATTATGTTAGCGTTTGCTCAGGTCTTTCAGTTGGGTTTCAGGGTAGTGGACAAGATCATTTGTGCTGAGAGTTCGCAGTTTTTATCGGCCAAAGTTAAGGCCTGGTCAAAAGGAAGGCTCTGAGGAGCCTGTCTAAAGTTTGTTCAAGAAGAGAATCTTTGTCACTTTCCAGTATTTGTTCAAAATGCACCACTTAGCTCACCTTCAAAAATGTCATCACGAAGAATGGTATTTGGCTTCCTTCAATCTATATTTTAAAACCTGGGTCTTGGTTTTTAACTTTAGTACTTTGTTCTTTTTCTCAGCAGATCACAGAGAAGTAAGGAAGAAGGTTGTGCATAAGTTATTTCAGCTCTTCACATAGCTCTTAAGATCATCTTTCAAGACTCCTGTATTTGCAGGAAGCCTTTAGAAACCAGAACAACCTTGAAAAGCTTCCTGTACCTATTGCTTGGGCCTGAGCAGGTGCAGTTCTGAATGACCTCAAGGGGGCTTCAACTTTCATAGGCAACAGGCTGCACTTTAGTTGTTTCAGCCTGTGCAGACACACTAAATCAAAATTAAATGTTAATGATGGTTGTGTCTGTGCCACTCAGCTGGGGAAACTAAAATAGAGACACAGAGCTCTACCAGCTGTCAGTAGCGGGGTCAGTCTTCCCCTGTGCCCTGGCTTCCCAGATTTATGCCAGCTTCTGCTGTCAGTAATGACACTGCTGCCAGAAAGACTTGCTTTTGCCAACATGTTGGGCTGGAAGAACACATGTTCACGCAGAAGTTGGAAGTCCTTGAGAGAATCGCAAATGGAGGGCACGAGTCCACACACAGGAAAGGGTAAGAATGATGTGGTGCCTCACTAAATAGTAGCATGCACAGAACAAGTTTGCAGTGGCCTTCTGAAGGCAGTGCATACTTCTGGTGGGGGCTGACTTATTAGGTGACCTTTTTGTTTTCTTTTCCTGCAAAATGAGCAGATTCTAGCAGATGCTGCCAAAACTTCTTTCTCGTCCATTCAGCAGAGAGAAAGGGTATTTCCCCTTATTTATTCCAAATATATAATCGTTATGGTATTGATTCATAATGATCAGTGATTTCATTCATAAATTGTGGTTGATTGGGTTTCTGTGTCTGATACAGGCCGCTAAGCAGACTAAGACCAAAGAATTCTATTCCAGGTTTCTGTTCTTGCCCAGCAAACTTCAGTGATCTCTGTTGAATGAGAAGCTTGAATCCAACCCTTGGAAACAAGTGCCCTGAAACTGTAGGGAAATTGTCCCCTAGGTAAGTGAGATGGCTTGGAAAACAAAGAGCTCCATTCCATATCTCAGGGAGCACTCATCACATCTATATTGTAAATTAAGAAGCTGCCAAGTGTTATTTGGTGCTTTATTTAAGCACTTCAGTTTGGTCTTGCTTATATCCCAACATAAATCAGTTGTGTTGATGTGTGTGACAGCTGGGGGTATGGTGGAAGGACTGTCACATACAAAGCTCTTCTCGCCATTTAGGCAATACCATCAAGTTAGCAATGTAAGTAGACCTAGAAGTGAACTATTGGGCTTGCCGTTTGATCAGTGGGCATTGTTTCTATCATAATGGAGTGCTCCAGAAGGGGCAAATGGTGAAGCAATATCACGGTGACCACAGAAAATGAGAGGGGCCAGTCATTTGCCTATTTGTTCTTAGAACCAGTCCCTGCTCCTTTCTTCTCTGAATTGTAGGGGCTGGAGTCTGGACACTTGTACTTCCCAGGCTCCCCAGCTCAGCTGGCCTGCAGTCAGGTTTGGCTTATGGAGATGGCAGGGGAGGACAAAGTTTTCATCAAAACCTCTTAGGATCCCTGCCTGGGGCTGAAAATTAATCTGACAGATAGATTAGCAGGAGAAAGGCATACACATTTATTTAATATAAATTTTATGTGACACCTAAAGAAACAGTTAAACCTGAGTATTTGCTGGGTCTGATAAAGAGTGGGCAGTCATGGAGAAATATGACAGGTCAAAGACTGAGGTAAGTATAGTAGGGGAAAGAGTGAGGCCTGTTTATTTGGATTGTACTCAGTGTCCCTTTGTCTTCAGAGATAGGGTGTTCCTTTCCTCGGGGTGCAGTGGGGGGCACCTCTCCAGGAAGGATATCATGGCCTGTTTCAAGGAAGAAAGGCAGGGGTCAGAGTAATCTCCCTGCTTCTGCTGTTTTCTCAAACTGCTTCATCTTGAAGTACCCAATATGCTGCTATATTTTGGATAGCATGTCCTGAACTCCATCAGGATCAACTTGAACCCCAGAGTTGATGTGAAGATGATTTTAGCCTAAAGATACTTGACATTCAACAGGTGCAGAAAGAAGCCATCTCGGAGCTTCCCTTATCTGATTAAAAGTAGACACTTCTGAAAACAAACTGTCATAAGTTCTGTCTTGGGGGTGGGTCAGCTCCCAGAAGAGAGACCAAGAGTAAACCCACCTTAAATCCTCTCTGCTGGAGTTTCATAGTGGCAAGACCACTTGCACCTATATAAGCAGACATTACCACAAACTCCCTTTCTTATCTCCTGTTTGTTCTCCTAAAAACCCACTTGTCTTTCTTATGGAAACCTGTTTGTTCTTCCCATAGACACCATTTCTCCCTTCTCCCTATCCCCTGCTAAGCTAGATATAAAAACCCCCAAATTTTAACCACCTCTTTAGGTTACTCATCACCAAGCATGCCTGCATGATGGCATATTGCACACCTAAACTAACAAACACCTAAGCTTTTCTCTTGTTATCCTGGTTTTATCAGTTAAATTTGCAGGTGTCCAGGTACTAAGCTTAAGAGGGTAGTTTTTCTCCAACTTGCCAATGAGAGGCGCTGGCAGGTAACTGGGCAGCATCTCTGGCTGTGTTTCTTTCAAGGTTCTGGCTTCTGTGAGGCAGCCCTTCTTTGGTCTCTGCTCCTCTGGCAGCCCCCACTGTGATTGGTTCCCATGGATGGTGGTGGTCCTGGCTCCTAGACTCCTGACACCACCTTCTCCCTTGATCTCTCAAGCCCCATATGTAATGGCAGATGTCTGCTGTTACTAATATATGACCAGCCTCCATGTCCTTTATTTGCCTCTTCTACTCCTTCAACGCTTTTGTATGCAGTTTCCTAACATCATATTCCCTCACCTGAATTATCCAGGAAGGGTTCTGTTTTCCAAACTGCACCCTTTCTGATAAAACAGTAGTCATGGCCTGGTCTTCCACAGCACCATCAGGGCCTTTCCATTGCCAGCCACTCTTGAACTTTTTACAGGAACAAGCAATCTCTTGGTGTTTTGAGGACAGTAGGAACTCAAGAAGTATTGACAGGATGGCAAAGGAAGGGGCAACTGAGCTGTCTGGCCATTGCATGTGTCCAAAACTATGAGCGAATAATACAGAGAAGGGAAAGATGGAGTCCACGCAGTTAATGGGAAATAAACAGGCCCGGCTTCCAGATTCTGAACACTGCTGAAAATCTTCCTCTAATCTTACTATGGAAACCAGAAAGGTATCAATTTAAGACACATGTACATCACAGAATTTGGTACCTGTAAATTGCTTCATGCAATCCATTCCTTCTGTTGAGGGTCTGCTGTGTGCTCAGAGAATATAAAGGTGAATTTGATAGGATCTAGTCCTTAAGGAACATGTAGTTCCTCAGTAGCAGAGAGAAAGCATCTTCATAAATAACTATAATACAAGAGAAGTGAAGAAGGGAGGAACTTCATTGGGGAGGGAGATCAGAAGAGAATGTCAAAAGTACAAAGCTCTTCTACCTCCACCTCCCCAGTCCATCTGGGATGAAAGGGAAGCATGGCGAGTCTGGGAGTGCTGTGTGCCAGTTGCATGCTGAACTCCCAACTGTGGCTTTGATGACTCACATTAACAAACATTACAGAAGCAATGACTTTCAGGCATGGCTAGACCCAGGGCTCAAATTTTGTCCCTAGGATACTGTCTCCTTTTATCTTATTTCTGCTTCCCCCAGAATTGCTTCTATTCTTAGTCAGGATCCCCCCATGTTTTTGGCCAGATAGCTGTCTGAAGGATTCTGTCCTCACATCTAAGTAAAACCATCCAAAAAATAACTCTTCTTTTGTCCTTTTCATGATGACTACAAGGGTAGATTGTAGTGATTGACAAGGTCTTGGATACCAGAAAAGCCCTGGAGCTACAATGATTTGGGTCATAACTCTCTCCCCACATCATGATGACTGAGAAAGATAGTCAAGGTGTTAGCAAAGAGAGAGAGAGAGAGAGAGAGAGAGAGAGAGAGAGAGAGAGAGAGACTGGCTGCTGGGTACAGAGATGTCTTCCACTAAGAGGACTTGACTGTAAGTTCCTTTGGGAATGGAACTTAGGTTCACTCAGTCATGGTGTTCATCCATGCATCACCAAACATTCCTGCAGCATGCAGCAGACAGGTGTGGCTCATGTAGAGAGATAAGAAGGCTGAGTGTTTAGAAAACTTATTCTAAGCCAGTGCTTTCAATGGAGGGCAATTCACACCTCTACCCCACAAGGGACATTTGATAATGTCTGAAGACATTTTTAGTTGTCATAGTTTGTGTGTGGGTTGCAGGTGTTTGACCGGCATCTAACGGGTAGAGGCCAGGATGCTGCTTCTACAATGCACAGACCAGCCCCCACCACAGGAATTATGTAGTCCCCACAATGTTAACAGTGCTGAGGTAGGGCAGGGAAATGGGACAAGGGTCATGCCCTTATAAAATCTACTTAGCCTGCGGAAAAGGCCCAGTTTATTCTTTTACTTAATCTATTGGCTGTTCTTCCTCTTCTGCCAGCCTCTTAATCAATTAGGTAACTTTGTAACCAGGACAGGAGATAGACCTTCAAAGTGTAAATGACCCTAGTGGATAAAGAATGCCATGATCCCAAGTCAACACTGTCACCTAAATAGCCCTATTCATAAGGCAAAACTTCAAAGGAATTATGAATCATCATGCATCATGCCTTATGCTGACCCCTACCCACAAGGCCCTGTAAAACACCAAACTCCAAACCCTTAAGTGCACCTTCTCTCTGAGGTTGCCTGCACTCGCTTTTCTTCAAGCGTGTCATTCTTTCTGTTCTACTCCAGATAAGTAGAGAGAGGCTGCTGAGATCTCTGATTTGGCCTGCAAGTTCCCATCACCTGGGAACTTGCAAGCTCAAACAGGACTGCAGCTGTATGATCATGACCCAGACAGGACTGCAGTTGTATGATCGTACTCTTTAGTAGCCTGCATGAAAATCTCCTTTCTACACCTTTGGGAAGTTTTCAGAACATCATCTCACTCCATCCAGTGCTCTGCGGCTCCCCCAAATCCTGAGGTGGTAGGGACTTAGTTCCCACACCGTGCAGATTCAAGAAGACACGGGATACCAGGTGACCCTGGCTTTAGGAGTTGGCAAGGGACTTGCCCTATGCCGAGCAGTAGTTCACTGAGCTTCCCTTTCCTGCCTCTGTCATTCTTTGCTTTCTGCTGCTGCAAAACAGCTGCCATTCCCTACTATTCTTGCTTTAATGAATTCCTTCCTCTCTGACTTCCCTGCAACTCAGAACTGAATTTCTTCCCAACAAATTCACCTGTGCTGACTGGTTAATTCCAGACTGACTGTTTAGGATCCCACTCTGGGGAGAAGGGAGAGGTTGAAACTGTAAGTTAAATAGTAAGTTTTGGTTTGGTAATGTGGTCTTAGCACAAGTGACTTCATTTTGGACCTGTGTCTCTTTTTTAAACACCTGTAGATTGCAAAATCCCAGAAGAAATTACTCTAACTCCTCCTACTTCCAAAAAGCAAAGAATGCTGACTATGCAGTTAACACT